AGAAAACGGGGGAGAAAAAGAAACAGAAAGGGGAAAAGAAAAAGGAAAAAAAAAAAAAAAAAAAAAACCTTGCACAGCTTAGTTGCTGCTGTCTCCCTCCCAGAGTGACATGGTGATCGGGGCTCGTCCTGTCCTTTCATTCACTTCCCCTCCTTCCAGCCGGTGGGTGGAACCGAGGGAGCCTCTCCAGGGAGCGGCGTACGCAGTCCAGAAGGCTGCAGTATTTCCTCCAAGAAGGAAAAAAAAAAGGGCTGCTTCAGCCCCTGCTGCTGCAAGCAAAGTTCCGATTCCCTCTGCTGGCTAGCTGGGAGAGCAGAGCGGGTTTTCGCAGCCAGGCTGCTGCCGCTGGGACGGAACCGCGGGACCCGGCCGCGGGCGGTGGGTCCTTTCTTATCCTTCTGTCCATCTGCTCCGCGCGGGGGCTGCCTTCTTTCCTTTTCGGGCCAAGTTGAAAAGGTAAGCGGCTCAGCGAAACAAAACGGGGAGGACCACGGGCGGGAGGGAGGCGAGGCCAAGGGAGGAAGGGAGAGAAAGGGGGGGAAAAAAACCAAGGCAGAGGGACTAACCTAGCTGGTTACAATGCAAAAAAGTGTGCCCCCGAGGCTCTCCAAACCTGCGAAGGCGCTGAAGCCCGACGAACCCAAGGCAGGGCTTAGAAACTAACGTTTTACTTCTCGGAGGACTCGGAAGATGCTAAGTGTTGAGGGAATTCTGAGTGGACACAGGACCACGGTTAACAAGCCGCGCACCCCAGGTCGCAGTGGCCAACTTATCGCAGCGGGAAGAAGCCTTCTCATCACGGCCAGTTTGGAAATACCAAAAGAGATGTTCCCTCAGGTGTGTGAACTTCTTTCTAAATAAAAAAACACTGCTTCTCTCATTCATTGTCTGTCTCTTTATAATTATTTTGATCATGGATGCTCTACTTGCTTTATGGATATCACACACACACACGCACAGAAAGAACAAAAAATCATAATTACTTGGCAGAGTTTTCCCCCACCAATAGTAAGTGATATTCTGACATGTCGATCAGCTGCTGCATTATAATACAAATTGTTTCCGAGAAAATATATTTCCTTAAAGGGTCTCTTTTCAAGGCTGGCGTGGCTAAAATTAGCCCAGCCAGCTGTGTTTTGCTGCGAGAGCTCACGCATGCCCAAAGCGCGGGCAGGCCGGCGCTGAGCTGCTCTAGAGTTTGTCAAGTCGGCTCTGCTCCCCCAGCCCAGAGGCGCCTTTCCAGAGACACAGCCCCCGGTGCAAATCCAGCTTGCTGGTCAAGAACAGAGAGCTCGGGCCCCGTGCACAATATCGTGCTCATCCCTGCACAAGCCCTGCCACCCCTGAGGCCATCAGCCTCCGCTCGGGGATGTTTTTGGAAGCTGTGTGAGTGCCTGCGTGCCCCTTGGAAAAAGAGAATGGTGGTGAGTAAATAGTTTTACGTTTGCCTTTTGACAAGAACAACAGAAGGAAGGAAGGAGAGAGGGTGGGAGGGTAGGAGTTAGGAGTCCTGAGAGCCCTGTAATTGAGGAAATTAAATCAACTCGGTTGATGTTTAGATGTGTTATTCTGGGCCTCAGGTGTCCCATCTGGAAAATGGAGATACTGCCAACTAAACTGGCTGAAGGTGGTACACTGATAAGGTACTAAATAAAAATCCCTTTGATTTAAAGATTCTTCGGGGGCACCTCCTTGCTCGGACCAAGAGAATCCTGACTCCTGGAATAGTTTTCAAGACCCTTGCAAACCCAACTTCCTTCTCCAGACTCAGAGAGTAAAATCTTCCCCTTACCTTCTCCACCTGAGTCATGCTGAAATGCTTTTAGGACCCGAAGGTGCTCTCTCAGGGCCCCCTGTCACTCCCTCTGCCCAGAGTGTTCTCCCAAATCCACCTCCACTGTCCCTTTACCCTTCAGGCCATCCTTTAGGTCTCAGCGTGGAGATCAGTCCCTCACAGTAGCTTACACTGAACCCTTGCTTCCCCACTGCACCTTATATTTGCCCTAATATTGTGCTTATCCTGTGTAACTGCCTGTGAATTGCATGATGCTTCTATGAAGCTCATGACGCAGGAGGAGTTCCCATCATTCTGGTTCACCTTCATGGTTCCAAAACAGGTGTGGTGTCTGCCATAAGGGGGATACTCTGTAAATGTTTGATGAGTGAGACGCCTTAAACATGATCACTCTCACACCACTCATATCTTTTTCTAGTCCAGGTCAGTACATTTCTGGGTGTGGGGTGGGTGGTGACACACCAATCAGGACAAGGCTCTTCCCTCCTAGAGAGAGTATTCTAGGGGAAAGATAAAGGGATAAGCGAGGTAAGTAGGTGATATAAGACCAGGTGGCCTTTAGTGCTGCTACAAAATATAAAACTAGTAAGAATCACAGGGATTCCACCTTAAATAGGATAGTCAGAAATGCTCTCCAAGGAGGAGCTCTGGGGTTAAAGGAAGGGTGTAAACTATGCCCTGGGTATTACATACTCTTAAGAATACACATTGTGAAAGTCTTGGCTCCCACCCAAACTGCCTTGGTTCCCGTCGTGCCCCTGATGAGTCAGCATGCCCCCATTTATTTCCATCCATCCAATGGCACTACCCACTTCCTATAGTTACTATGAGAATTCGCCCGCTAAACGTGATGTATTTATAATACCATGGAACATATTTAATCTGCTCAAAAAATATCAGCTTGCATCTGGGGGAAGAGCATCCCAGGCAGAGGGAACAGCAAGTGCAGAAGCCTGGCAACAAGAGTGTGTCTCAGGAATGTGTGAGAAATGGCGCAGCGGCTGGAATGGCACAAGTGAGGAGTGAAGACTATCAAAATAATGCTGGAGAGGTACCCTGGAGCCAGACTGTTAAAGCCTTGGTGAGAACTTTGTATGGGAAGCTCAATTAGTGACACTTGATAGTCTACAGCCAGGACTCTATCCAAATATTCTGGCTCTAGATCTAGATCTTCAACTATAGAATACTGTCCTCCTAAAAGATCTATTCGGGCTCCTCCAGATTCTAAGGTCTATATGATCAGTATCCTACATTGCCTCTGCCAATTTTGCCACCATGGACAAAGGAAGCCAGTATTCTTTTATTAATAAGTGATCTAGATACTCCTTGAAGGGAAAAGAATACTGCCTTATTTACAAATATAAGGAAAAATAATTCCTCAGCTCAAGCTATAGCCCACTTATATGTATTGATGCTATCAGCATCTTCTACACAAATTACCACTTTCCAAAAGGCTATTCTGTTTTATTAGATTATTGTTATATTCTTTGCATCAATTGTCATTAGCCAAAACAATTCATGGAACATTTAAAGCTTTTCTTAAATAATGCAAAGATGATTTACCACTTGTGAGAATTGTAAAACCCTTGTTTGTTTGTTTTTTAATTTTTTCCCCCTCAGAGATACCAGTAGCCATGGCAATTTGGGAGGGAAGAAACTCATGTGAGAAATCGTTTTCATATCATGTCTGCTCTGTTGGAGCAGCACTGCTTTCCATTTAAATGATCAAGGTAAGGTAGGAGGTAACTCATTTAAGACACTCTCTAAATCAGAAGTCAGCTGCGTCCCATTTGCCAACTAACCACCAAATTTTGTACAAATTCAAGAGCAGCAAACTGCAGCGAAGGACATGGACTCTCTCAGATTCACATGACTCACAGCACAGACTGGAGAGGTTCTCATTATAGACGATTTCTTGGCTGACAGGAATGAGGCGATGCCTCAGAAACACCATCGTGAGGTAGAGAAGTGATGGTGCTAAAATGAGGGTCAACTGGATAAAAATGAAGACTCTTCTCATTTGTCCTTGACCTATCCACTCAAAGAAAACCAGAGTCTTCTCTTTAGGTTTACTTTCTGAATTACAAAGACTTAGGCAAAAGCAAAGGAAATAACAGTAGAGATATAAGAGAAAAAAAAAATTGCACTATGTTTGAAAGCACATATACTATTCCATCTTCAAGATGACATTCATGACCTTGAATATATATTTTTTGGCATTTTCTGCCTTCTTTATTCAAATCTGTGAATTTCTTTTCCATACAGTGATTTCTAAAGGAGTATTAAACATAAAAGTTGGTTTTACGAAGAAGAAAGACAAGATGGTAGACTGCAAATTCCAACATTAAAGTAATGTTATAATGTTTTTTTCACCAACCAAATACTGACCAGTGGTTTAAGAAAATACCTGAGACAAATTAGGAAAAAGAGACTAGCGATTCAACCATATGTGGTCCAAATTTAAATTATAATTGAATGCAAAACTATTAATGTAGATTAAAAACAATAAATATCGGCCATGGAAGGCAATCGTAAGCCTCAGGATAAAATAATATGGGACTATAGTTCAAGAGTATATCAAGTATAAAAATCAAGTATAAAAGCAAAAATAAATTTTTTAACCCTCACCCCTGAGGATATTCTTTTATTGAGTTTTTAGAGAGAGAGAGAGAGAAGCGGGAGAGAGAGAGAGAAACATTGATGTGAGACAGGAACATCAATCAGTTGCATCGTGTACAGGCCCTGACCTGGGATGGTGCCCTCAACTTAGGTATGTGCCCTGACCAGAAATCAAACCCACAAACTTTTGGTTCATGGGACATTGCTCCAGCCACCTGAGCCACCCAGCCAGGGCAAAGCAAGACTAATTTAAAGCAATAAGCATTATTAACTTCAACAAAGTTTTATTGAGCATCTATTATGTGTCTAAATAATTGAGGATACCTATATAAGTATTCTCACCCTTGTCCTCAAGTAGACTTAGCAACTCGGTACCTACCATACATCAACTATTCATAAATGACCTTAATGTGTTTTCTCCTATCTGAGTTACCAATTTGTAGTAAGAGTTATTAAGTCATTTTCTTTAAGTTGACTCAGGAGTTTTTCTGAAAAGCATACTTTACTATAATTCTAAGCAATATTATACATAAAAGCTCATGTTTATTTTGTTTCTATTATCTTTGCAAAAAATACATAATATCCTCTCATTTTCTATATACACTTTTTTCATAGAGCTTAATACTTTGCAGGCACATCTGGTTCTCCTTTACCACTAGAATTACCCAGGATACACTTCTTCACTTCATTGAAAGTAGGCATGACCATGTGACTTACTGTAGCCAATGAAATATGAAGCAGAAGTGACACCTATAAATGCTTTTAACTCTTATTTAATTCTCTAGCCCACTGTTCTCTGATGGAAGGACCTGCTGGTATAGAGGCAACATCTTGGAAGGCTGAGCACAACTACCTTAAAGAGTCACCTGGACCAGCCATTGATTTGTCACGAGTGAGTGAGAAATGAACCTTTATTGTATTAGGCTGCTGAGGTTCGGTCACTTAACCACAGCATCACCTAGCCTACCCTGCCTAATACGACGATACTTGTAGCTTGAGTCTATCATTGTTGCTTTCCTTGTTTGAGTGTCTCCCCCACTAATACCTAAAGTCTGAAAAGGCAGGGAATGCATCTATCATGTCACTGTTACATCCCCAGCACCCAGAACAGCCCTTGGGATGTAATACACAATTTTAAAATGTTTGTTAAGTAAATGAATAAAATGTTCACCTAAAATCATCTCATTTGTCTATCAGCAATGAATGTATGATACTTTCTGAAATAATAGAAGGGGAAATGAGACGTGTACTCCAAAAGCAAAATCTGCTATGTTTTCTGGGAGAACTGCTACAGTCCTGAGTGTTTAAAGGAGGGAAGTGTTTTTCTGCACTGCACTGGGAGTGAGCACTGGGGTGTGGGGTTGACTAAGAAAGAAAGAAGGTGAAGAAGACGAGGAATAGAAACACATGCTTACTACATGTTTATAAATGCTTCCTCAGTTAAAACTCACAAGCACCTGGAAGGTGCGTATGATTTTTCAGACTTCACTGTTGAGAAATTGAGAGGGAGGGAGTTTAACGATCCTATCCAAGCTCACACCCAGCTGTAACATGGCAGAGGGCTATTCGTGACTCATGTGTATAAAGCCCAATCCCAGCTTTTTCCGAAGCATCATTTGATAGAGATTATAAATGCTTTATACCAAAATTGGATGAGATAATCTTTGTGTTTAAAACAAAAACCTTACAGTCTATATAAAAGTCTTAAATAAGTCAGTGTGTCTTCATAGAAACAGATCGTGTTGATCAAAAGGCAAGAAAGAAAGAACATGGCCTTCCATCATATAGCATAAACTCTGTATGACAGGCGTAATGGTGAATTGTATGTGTCAACTTGGCTGGGCTATGGTACCCAGATGTTTGATCAAACACTGGTCTAGCCCAGCCAGGCATGGCTCAGTGGTTGAGCATCAACCTAGGATCCAGGAGTTCGGGGTTCGATTCCCGGTCAGGGCACATGCCCAGGTTGTGGGCTCGATCCCCAGTGAGGGGCATGCAGGAGGTAGCCGATCAATGACTCTCTCATCGTTGATGTTTCTCTCTCTCTCCCTTCCTCTCTCTGAAATCAATAAAGAGATATTAAAAAACAAAAAACATTAGTCTCGATGTTGTTGTAAGGTGTTTTTTAGATGTGATTGACATATACATCAGTAGACTTTGAATAAAGCAGATTATTCTCTACCATGTGGGTGGGCCTCCTTCAGTCAGTTGAAGGGTTTAAGAATAAAGACAGATCCTTCTAGAAGAAATTCTGTCTCCAGACTGTCTTTACACTCAAGACTCAACATCAAATCTTTTCTGAGTCTCTAGCCTGCTAACTTAACCTGCATTTTTTTTGGATTTGCTAGCCCCACAATCACATGAGCCAATTCCTTAAAATAAATCTCTCTCTCTGTATATGTGTGTGTATACATATGGGGTGTCCCCAAAAAATGTATACACATTTTGAATAATTATAAAGGCAGTGTTTATTAAAATGTTTTATTTTCAAAACTGAACTATCAGCTGTTAAAGTATATATGTATTTCTAGGGACACTCTCTCTGTATACACACATACACACACATCTTACTAGTTGCATTTCCCTGGAGAACCCTAATCCAACAGGTTAATAAAATAAAAGGAATATGTTAGCAATGAAGGTCAGTGAAATGGGCACTCATACAATCCTAATAAATGTCTATAATGCTTTTCAATACAGCTTAATAACATGTGTAGCCTTAAAAACTTTCATTCCTGTAACCCAGTAATTTTACTTCTATGAATCTAAAACAGATCACCATTAGAAGTTTAAGACTAAGAAATTGGAAAAACCTGAATGTCCAACTCTAGTTCATTAAATAAACTCACTATAAAATATGATTCAACCATTACAATGATACTTAGAAACATTTTAACAACTTAGGAAATGCTTAAGTTGAATAGCTAATGGGGGAAAAATCAGAACACAACACCGTATATGATTTCAACAATGAAATATAAACAGAGACAAGAGACTGGAAGGACTATAGCAAAATAACAACAGTGGAACCTTTTCTCTGTGATGGGGTTATTGATGATTTTACTTCTCTTTCTGACAAATACTGACATTTTCCAATTTGTCTTAAAATGAACATATTATTTAAACATTATTTTAAAATAAATTTTTTAGTAAGTATATATTTCTAGGTATGATTACCAGTTGACAAGATATGTTTAAACACCCAGAGGTGACAGTATCTAAATTACACATGTGTTTTAAGTAGCCATTTCCTTCTTACCTGGATCTGACGTCAATTTAAGAAAAGCTTAAACCTTTCTGTAACATCTAGGAGCATTAATTCTACTTCGAAAATGTCAAAACTCTCATTTAAGACCTCAAAACAAACATTCTCATTGAATGAAAGAATACAGCTATTGATGACATATCTTTAAAAGGATTAAAATAAACCTGCATTAAGTATCTAAGACTTTCATTTTTTTAATATTCATTTTTTCAATATAAACTAATTCTGCCTTTGCACATCTAAGTTTCTCATAAATTTGTTTGTAAAAAAATACTGATGCATCCCTGTCAGCTTGTTTACCATATGTTGTAGGAATAGGGCCGTTTTTTGTGTGTCTATCACTATGTTTCCCTGTATATTTCGATGCAAAGAATTCCACTATTTGCAGTCCATTGAGCCAATTTTGTCCCAATGTAGCTGTTCAATTTGAATGGCCCCTCTCACCAGCTCACCTTCTGCCATGCCTCGTGCCATTGGTGAAGAAGAGCTTTGGAAAACACTAATTAAAAGTCTCAAAGTAGGAAAAGACAGCTAACTGCACTGTTACATGGAAAACACATTTTTCTAAAGGAATGTTATCACTTTGCACTGACAGTCCAGCTTCCAGCTGTCAATAGCTGAGCAAGTTGGGTCGATATGACCAGATTTGATCGGCTGAACTGATTCTTTTCCCTAGAAAAATCTAGATCTGCACAAGTCTAGGCTGAAAGTGACTACTAATTGGAAAACTACTACCAGATAAAATACAAGACATCTAGTTCAATCTGAAGTTCAGTCAAATTTTAATATAAGTATGTCCCAAATATTGTGTATGGCATGACCCATGAAATATTGGGTCCATACTTATAAAAAGTATTTATTGCTTGTGTGAGATTCTAATTTAGCTGAGTGTCCTGTGTTTTTATTTCCTGAATATGAAAAGCCTACTCTTAACTGATGCACCAAAAACCTTCACAGGTCTTTCAGAGGTCACAAGAATTGGTGGAATTCAAATTTAATGACGACTAGCCATGCTTAGTATTTGTAATCCTCTTTACACTCAAACCAGATGAACCCAAAAGTCCCAAAATTAAGTCTCCCTTAGGAGAGTTCAACCACAGTCACGTTCTGTTCTGTTTTGTTTTGTTTCTTAACATGAGGGGAAACGATTTTTTTTCCTAAAACTGTATTCACCACAATAAAGTGCCTGTGAAGAATGACAGATGCCCTGATCCCCATCCCTGATATCAGAAAGGTCCAATTTAAGAGAACCAGACAATTGTGCAAAACATGAGAGGAAAGAAGACCCAGGGCAGTGCTGCCCAAAGCCTGGTCCACCCACAGGCCAGTGCTGACCAGCAGGCTCTCCCAGGCCCATGAGCAGCAAGCACAGGGATCTAGATTAAGTGTCTAGCAACTCTACAGTAACTTGTCAGAGAAGTTTATGTCTCTTGTCTCTAAATCATACAAGTTTGGACTCGTATTTTAAAAGCCTGGTTATTTTTATTTTTTTATTTTTTTGGATTTCACTTTTCTAGTAATTCTTGTGTATTTTACCAAAATATTAGATAGAGTCAGTCAGAAGAGAACAAAAACCAGTCTTTCACAACAGTTTGAAAAGTCTTGATCCAGAAAACGTAGAATTGTCTCATTTCCTTTCATTTTTCATCTGCAGGTGGCTACTGGCAAATAAGTTACCCTGATGTGTTTTCTGATTGCAATGCAAAGAATGGTGAAAGCTATGTGCACCACAAAGGAAAACTTACTTCTCTGCAACTTATCTTTCTTGTTTTCCTAACTCACTCTCTTTTCTGTGTGTATTCCTTACCCTGTAATCAGTGCCACCGTCCTGACCCCAGGGAAGATCTTGAAGAGTACCAAACCCCAAGCCAGGATTTGGGGGGCTTCTTGGCTGTGAGACGCTGATGCTGGTGAGATCAGTTCCCAGGGGGAGCCTCAGTTATCTCACATGCAAAATGCTGGTTCTAATTAGGTCATTTAAGGTCCATTTCTGGCTCTGACACTTTGCAATGCCAGGATGCACTTGCTGAACTAAGGTGAGGCTGTATCTTTTAAGCAACAAAGATACCAGGGCTGGCTGGCCCCTGCGTGGACAGCTAGACTTGTTCCAGCAGAACGAGGTTGATATTCTTCAGCCAGTGTCTTTCTGTGACTTCCAGCCATTCCCAGCATCTGTGTACTGGAAGGCCCCAACTCCAAAAATAGCCCCAGAAATTATAATTTGTCTTCCAGAGATGACATCTCCATGAACAGCACTAAATCACGGCCATACAGTTAGCCTGACACTTTTGCCGATGCCTCAAAAACGGTTCGATCCCTGGAAGTCGAGGTGCACCGTCTGTCCCACCCAGGGGCCCCCAGGGTGCTGAACGTTTACGCTCACTATGCAGTCAGGAAACGTAATGATTCCTTTTTCTTTAAGGACGTTTATGAGCGAAGGTAATGGGTGGAACATAAATGCCCTGACTGTTTACTGAGACTCGTAAATGCTAAGAACACAGACAAATAATTGTCACCTGGAGATTTGTTCTTGCAGCGGAGAATCTTCGTTTTTAGCAATTTAACGGCTAAAAGTTTACCCACCTTGAGGAGAATTATTTAGGAAGAAATAAAACGTGGCGCTCATTTCATTCCTTGCTCTGCCAACTTCCATCCTTGCGGAAAACCAGCGCTCATATAAAATGTGCGGAAGGTAGCTTGCTGGATGGGGGAGCGAAAGGAGGGGTAAGGAGGACACCCCGAACCTCGCCATAACAATGCCACGTTTTTAACACCAGCAGAGCTTGAGATCAACGGTAACTAATGGGCCTTCTGTTTTCCTCTGTGAGAGAGGAACTTTGTTACTTACAAATGATCCACAAAGAAGGAAAGAAGAAGAAATCTCTACTGGCCACTTAGTGAAAGCTGAACAAATGGTACAGGTCAGGTCAGAATTTAGTGAGTGCAATCAAATGCTCACACTTCTTTCTTTATATTTTATTTTTTATATTTCTCCACTGATTTTTTTTTTTTTAGACAGAGTGGAAGGGAGAGAGGGAGAGAGAGAGAAACATCGATGTGAGAGAGACACATCGATTGGTTGCCTCCTGTGCGTG